ATACCACACACACATATACCACACACACACACCACACACACATACCACACACACACAAACCACACACACCACACACATACACCACACACACACACACCACACACACATACCACACACACACAAACCACACATACCATACACATACACCACACACACACCACACACATACCACACACACACCACACCATACCATACACACACCACACACACCACACACACACACACACACACACACACACACACACACACACACACACACACACACCACATTCTATCATCTTCCTTGACTTTTCCTCTGCTTCAATCTCTGGGAAATATATTTGGACTTCTAAAATGGCAGCGTTCTGTAACCATAACCCAATTCCTGCTTAATAAAAACAGTGAGAGGAGGTCTGTTTAGATTGGCAGAGTCCCTCAAAGTGTCAAACAGGTATGAAGAGACAGGGGTGTGAGTGGAGGAAGGGACTGTAAAGGACCCTTGACAGCCCTGGACCTGAATGGCACCTGCTGACCGAGCCTTCAACTTCCCCGTGAACCAGAAGCTGCGAATGGACCAGCTGGGTGGCTGGCGACTCTCTCTCCTGCAAAATCCCGGGACCATTGTGGCTGCGGCTCCTGGAGCCTTTGCCCTCTCTCCTGCAACTTCGCTTCCTGCTGCCCACAACCAGGAAGCTGCCCCGTTCCAGCTGCTGTGTTTTGTGTTTTAGTCTCACTGTCCTTACGTTTACCTTCTTTGAGATGTATTTTCTTTGATTTCTTGCTCGAAATTCAGCTAAGGACCAGATAATATTTTAGATAACGCTGTTTGTCCTTTGAGATTTTCATGCACACTTTGTTTTCTCTTCTATTTGCCCTGACTCCCCCATTCCAACGCCTCTTGTTTCCCCCACCATGTTCCCCTCTCAACTCGATTTCCTTTTTTAATAACCCAGTGCTGCCCTTACACACACAAGTATAGAGCACCATCCACCAGAGCATTGTCAACCCACCGGAGACAATATCCCCCGGCCCCCCCCCCCCCCCGCCCCCCCACAAACAACAACAACAAAAAAAACCCAGCTGAACTATAGCAGGCGGCAACTGGCAGCGGCTTCTTCACTGGAAGTGGGGACTTATGTGACCTCCCCCGCTGATGTTGGAATATTGCACAGTTGGATCTTCTGCAGGCAACGACAGCTCCTGTGAGTTCCTGAGGCCAACCGTCCTGACGTTGTGTCTAGAAGACACACTTTTGCTCCAGTCCTCCCCAAGATCTGACTCTTACAATCCCTCCATTCCCACTTCCACTGCTCCCTGAACCTTTCCTGGAGAAGGTGTGGTGCAGATGTTCCATTATGGCTGAGCACTCCACCAATACTTACTCTCTGCACTTTGACCAGCTGTGGGTCTCTGTTTTGACGACCACCCACTAAACAAAGAAGCTTCTCTGTGAGGACTGAAAACTGCACTAATCTATGGCTATAGGCATATATATTTATAAGACAGTTGGATTCTGTGGTGGTTTGAATGTAAATGGCCTCCATAAGCTCATAGGGAGTGGCACTATTAAGGAGATGTGGTCTTGTTGAAGTAGGTGTAGACTTTTTTTGGAGAAAGTGTGCCGCTGTGGAGGCGAGCTTTGATGTTTCCTATGCTCAAGCTTTGCCTAGTTCAGATTGCTTCCTATGGCCTGCACACTAAGATGTGTTAACTCTCAGCTCCTTCTCCAGCACCACATCTGCCTGCACGCCACCATGTCCCACCATGATGATCATGGACTAAACCTCTGAAACTGTAAGCCACCCAGTGAAATGTTTTCTTTTTATAAGAGTTTCTGTGGTCATGGTGTCTCTTCCCAGCAATTGACTAAGACAGAAGTTGATACCAGGACTGGGGTATTGCTGTGATGGGTCTGACCATGCTTTTATTTGGAGGAATATGGACCTCAGGACTGTGGATTAGAAAAGCAGTTAAATACTTTCAAGTGCTGCTTAATGGGCCATGCTAGTAGGAGCATGGAAGGCAGTGGTGTTGGGTGTGATTTGATGAAGTGTGTGGAGCCAGCTCAAGAGGTTTCAGAGGAGAATATTAATATGCAGCCTAGAGATTGTTCTTGTGATATTTTGGTACAGAATGTGGGTGCTTTTTGACCTTGTCCAAAGATTCTGCCTGAGGCTAAAGTGAAGAGATTTAGATTAATTCTGTTGGCAAAGGAAATCTCAAAGCAGCCTAGTATGGACTCTGCCATATTATTACTAGTGTTCATGCTTATAAAGATTTATAGTGAAAAGGAGCAAGCTGAGCAAGGAAAAACACAAAAAGAGCACCAGAAAGTGAAGTGGAATGGAACTAAGTTCTGGGTTCAAGGAGATAAACAGACTAAGAAATGGAATAAAGGGAGTGGTGACCCCAGGGCGAGATCCCACCTGTAAATTCCCAACTCATGAAAAGGACTAAAGAAAAGCTTAGAGTCTGGTTGGGTGGTGCACACCTTCAATCCCAGCACCTGGAAGGCAGAGGCCGATGGATCTCTGAGTTTGAGGCTAGCCTGGTCTACAGAGTAAGTTCCAGGACAGCCAAGTTTAGGCAGTGAAGAAAACCACGGTGATGATGTAATTGAAAGATCTCTGAGTTCAAGGCCAGCCTGGTCTACAGATCCAGTTTCAGGACAGCCAAGCTTAGACAGTCAAGGGAACCATTGGAAACAGAAAGCTGGTGAAGTAGGTAGCTGTTCTAGCTATGATCTTGAAGCGCCGCCCCTAGTGAGGAGGCAGGTAACTGTTACACCTGCCTATGGCCCTGAAGTACATGCCTCTGGGGCTTGGCCGCTTGGGATCCTTAAGACCTGAGATGCACGTACTTGGCTCTCTCTTCACCCCCCCTCATGGTTTTGGATGCTGAGATCTTCGACCAGGCAGATCAGCATGGGACATAGCTCGGCTTTCCCAGACCCTACGGTAAATCTCCTGTGGTAGTGAGTTAACCCCCAATAAATTCCTTTGCTCATTAAATAGACTCCGTGGATTTCTCACATTAGCCGGTGAAGATGTAATTGAATGAGGGGACCATGTTCCAGCCCCCCAAAGCAGCAGAACTTGGCAGCTTCAGCCACGTGGCTCTGGCTTTAGCATCAAGGATAGAAGAAAGGGGTTATGGAAACTTCCTCTGTGACTAAGGAAAGCTGCTGAGGCCAGGCATGTGTCAGGGGTGTCCCTGAATGGAGGCCCAGAGAGACCATTTTTGTGAAGCTGTGAAGGAGAAGCCTGGATTGCGTTGGAGACCCCAAGATGTTAGGGATGCCAGAATCATGGGATACCTGCTGAGGAAAGCTGTTAACAGGGAGAGAAAACAGCCCAAGAGAGAGAAGTGTGTTGTAGCCAACCAAGATGAAAGGAGTTGGAGATCTGAAGAGCATTTTGACATCAGACATGGAGACTCAGAATTTGGAGTTTGCCCAGCTGGGTTTTGGTTTTTCTTTGGTCCAGTATTTCCTCACTATGCTCCCTTCCCTACCTTTTGGAATGGTAATGTATATCCTGTGGCATTATATGTTGAAAGTATGTGATCTGTTTCTTTATTTTATGGGGGATTACAGTTAAGAGATTGCATAAATCTCAGAAGAGACTTTGAACTTTAAAACATGGTTAAGATTGTGATAGACTATGGGGACTTTTGAAGTTGGACTAAATGCATGTTACATTATAATATGTTTACAAGCTTATGGGGTCCAGGGAGTGGAATGTGGTGGTTTAATGTAACTGGCCCTCAGAAGCTCATAGGGGATGGCACAATTAGGAGGTGTGTAGCAAGCTTTTTTTTATCGGACTATCTTTGGACCACTAGCCTGCAAATAATGACATGGAGACTTATTATTATGAAAGCTTGACCTTAGCTTAGGCTTTTCCTCAACTAGCTCTTATAACTTAAATTAACCCACTTATGTTAATCTACAATCTGCCATGTGGCATTATTTCTCTCTATGCTGCCCATTCCGTTTCCTGAGAGTCTGGCTGGTGACTCTGCCTTTCTTCTTCCCAGAGTTCTCCCTCTCCCTGGAAGTCCTGCCCCTTCTCTTCTTCCTAGCTATTGGTCATTTGGCTCTTTATTAAACCAATCAGAAGGTGCCTTGGTGAAGACACATTTTCACAATGTAAACTAATATTCCACAACAGAGGTGTGGCCTTGTTGGAAGAAGTATATCACTGTGGGGGTGGGGGTTTTGAGGTCTCCTCTGCTCAAGCTACACATAGTTCAGGTCACTTTCTGTAACCTGCAGATCAAGACGTATTAACCCTTAGCTCCTTCTCCAGCACCATGTCTGCCTGCATGTTACTATGTTCCACTATGATGATAATGGACTAAACCTCTGAAAATGTAAGCCACCCAATTAAGTGTTTTTCTTTATAAGAATTTCTGTGGCCATGGTGTCTCTTCACAGCAATTGAGACCCTAACTAAAACAGAAACTACACTCATTTAGCAAAATAATAACAGTAAGTTAACCCCTAGGGCCTATGATCTCCCAGCCATGGGTCTTTGGCCAGATTTACAGTATCACATGCGTGTTTCACACTGTAAAGTGGAGCCTTACATCTAGCAACGAAGCAATGGTGGGACAGAATATTTCACCTACATCTACCATCTCCCACTTCCTTCTGCTCATTTCTTTCCCAGGTTCATAACTTGGGGTTTGGTTTTGTGTCCCATTAAGTTTACCATGACCATCTGTGTAACTTGGATTGGGACCATCCATTTGAGCCTGGTGAGGTCACCAGTGAGTACACAAGTGACATTCTGAAGGCAATGTTCACAGGTGCCTACCTCCTCAAAGGGCTGGAAGTGTAGTGAGTCTCTCTTAAGTGTATTAAGGGAAATAAAGATGGGATTTTTTTCTCTCTCTCTCTCTTTGAAAATGCTATAGCAAAATCAACATAGTGGCCCAGGCCTATAGATCTAAAACTAGGCAGCTGGGACAAGTAGATCAGATGTTTAACATTATCCTTGACTACATAGCTAGTTAGAGGCCAGCCTGGAACATGTGAGACCTGTCTCAAAACAAACAAACCAAGTCTCACAGTGACAGTGGCTGTAAGTTCAGAAGTGGGAACCCTGTACTGACCTTGAATTTTTTTCCCAGGGTGGAATAGCTCCAATTCCAGTCCACAGAAGACTTGCATTGTCATTGAGAACATCCTATCATTAATTTTTTAAAAAAATTCTTTATGCCTTCTCTGTTGACTTAAAGTCATCTTTTAATGATCTAACAAGTGGTATGTCTAATAAAATATGTCTAATAATAATAATAATGCCTAATAACAGTGAAATTTATGGAGAATAACCATGGTTGTGCCTTTTGGCTCTGAGCCTTGGCCAGGTCTCAGTCCATCCTTAGTCACCTAATTTACATTATGGACTCTTTCTGTGGTATGCCAGGTGCCTCAGACATCACAATAGTGCTCTGCATGAGACTGCCAGCAGGAAGATGCTTAGTGGAAGCCAGGAGGTCAGGTTGCTATGGTGAGGACCTGGGTGCTGCAGGGTATCTGGGGACCAGAGTGATTCAAGCAAAGAAATACCCAGGAGTTTTTTCAGGCTCCAGGACATCCAGGGGGTGGTGTTACTGTCCTCATCTCTCTTATCTGTACCAGCTGGGTCCATCAGCCCACTACAGGTTTGGGTGCCTCGCTGAGTTGATATAACTAAACATAGCACAGCTGGGCTGTGATGTTTGCCTTTTTTTTTTACAAGGAAGGAGGAAGTGAGGACAGTGCTTCAGGTGATAAAACATTGCCAGGTGGGACTTCAGACTGATAACCTTCCCGCCAAGGCTAGCAACCACCCAGAGTTTGACACCCTCTCCTAGGGAAGCTGTGGGAGCAGGTATCTCAATTGTAGCTAGTAGGACCGAGAGCCAGATCTGAAGATATTGAAGACATTTGGTAAAAGGAAACAAAATGAATCCATCCTTTAACTCATCAGGCACTCTACTCCCAAGCCCTTGTCCTACTGTCCCATGTTGGCAAACCTGGTAACCACTTCACACTGGAAACCTGGCTCTTGCTATCCCTGTAAAAAGTGCAGTGATGTGTGACCAAGGTCATGGCAATTCACTCTGTAGATGAGGCTGGCCTTGAACTCATAGAGATCTGCCTGCTTCTGCTTCCTGAGTACTGGGATTAAAGGGGAGCACTACCACGGCCCAGCCCCAGCTAGTCTGGAGAGTTTTTACCACAAGATATATGTCAAATTTTAAAAAGCAAAGCCAAGTGTAGTGGCTCATGCCTGTAATCCTAACCCTTGGGGGGCTAAGGTAGGATAGTCATGAGGTCAGCCTGGGTTGCTGGGTGACACTGTCTCTTACAACAAAAACAAAACAAAAAGTCCAAGTGCATGGAGTTACACTATCAGAAGAAGAAGGAGGAGGAGGAGGAAGAGGAGGAAGAGAAGGAGGAGGAGGAGGAGGAGGAGGAGAAAACATATGCATAGATTTGTTTATATTTATAAAACAAAAATGTAAAACACTTAATAGGTGACTACTGGGGGTGATTTTCAGTTGAAGGCGCTGGAAAATGGAGTGAGGGAGATTATGGGAGGAATACCTCCCAGGAGTACCCGTGTGCTTCTCTTCCTTCCCTCTCCATTCTTCCTTCCCTTCTTTCCTTCCCCTCCTCCCCTCCTCCCTTCCTTCCTTCCTTTTGCCTTCCCTTCTCCTTTTTTTCCTTCTTTCCTATTTTTTTAATTTTTGTGATGGTGCGAATTCAACCCAGGGCCTCATGCATGCTAGGCAAGCTCCCTATCACTGAGTTACTCAGCCTAGTTTAGATTTTTTTTTTTAAGTTTTAAAATTATATTGTGTCTGTCTCTCTGCTTGTGTGTGTGTGTGAGAGAGAGAGAGAGAGAGACAGAGACAGAGACAGAGAGACAGAGACAGAGACAGAGAGACAGAGAGAGACAGAGAGACAGAGACAGAGAGAGAGGAGGTCAGAGGACAGCATGTGGGAATCCATTCTCTCCTTCCACCACGTGAGGCCTGGGGCTCACACTCACTCAGTTCACCAGACTTGGTGGCAGTCGCCTGTGCCCACCTCACCGTCCCGCTAGCCCAGTTTTGGTGTTTCACCTGTGCCAATACCATGTAGAGTCCTCAAAGTAAATGACGGCAGCCGCTTGAGACTGGACGTATCCTTGTCCTTTGTTGTAGTTCTCTTCAATCCAATCAACCATGCACTGAGCTTGGTAGCTGAGCCACAGCCATGGCACACTGGCTGGCTCACTAACCCCACCCATGGGTCCCAGCCATGGAGCCTCCCCAGGGGCTCTTTGCGTCTCCACTCAGCTGTCTTACCTGTCCGCTTCTGTTGGGAATGGCACCTGTCTCTCAATACTGGTCCACTGCTGGATTCTTATTACCCGCTGACAGCTGAAATTGGTGGTGCCTGCCAGGCTGGGCTGCCAATATCGGCTTCTCCTTATTGAACACTACCTGGCACGCGCCGCTTACACAGAGCGTTCTTTGGCAGTTGTGTGACAGCGGATGCTCATTGAGTGCCTGCCGTATGTGCGGGGGACCCGAGCAGGAACTCTGCCGGTGCCCCTCTCTGCCTATTCCCGAGGCTCCCACGAGCTGGGTGACACCTCTGTTTTATTTCGATAGGAACACTGGACAGCAAGGTGAAAGAATGCAGGAAAGATGATGCCACCAGTGAATGGGAGCCTGGACTGCACAGGTCTCCCTCTGAGCTGGAGGAATCCCCAGCCGTGCTGATTCCAAGGACGTCCTGAGGTCAGGGGCCATGCGTGTCAGACTCCTAGGAAGCCTGGATTGTGGCTTCTCCCTACAGTACCTGGGCTGAATTCGGCACTGCTGTGTGGCTCAGTTCAATAGGTGGGTTGGATTCTAGGGTCACACATGGCCAGGCTGTTCTCCCCTAGTTAACTCTTTCTTGCATGACCAAACCACAACTTACCAGCCCCTTTCTCTTAGCTAAGGACTAATTCATTTGGGGTGGGAAAGACTGGGGAGAAAGACCCACACAAATGCTGTTGTGTTCCGTAAGGCCTTAGGAGGTCTTACCTCTCTCTTCTGGCTTCTTTTTACTCTTCCTCCCTTTACCACAGCACCAGGAAACATCTCTAAGTCACACCGTACTTCAAGGATACTGACTAGTAAGCAGTACATATAAGGAATGAGGGGCAGGAAGGGAGCTGAGCATTTCTCCCTATTTGAATGCATAAAACAAGTAATATTTTCATTGCAGAAACATTTCTGTTTGATACAATTTGCCATTCCATTTATGGAGCTTGTCTGTAGAAGCTAAAAAGTGTTAAAAAAATATTTAGACACAGGATTAACCTAGACTCATTTCCTTCATGTCCTCTGAGCTGGTAATGTTTTACTGCAGTGCATTCCAAAGTCAAATCTGGGCTCTGTTTGGAACTTTGTGTGGCCTTTTCCCGTGCTTAAATACAGATAACTGAGGGCATAATCAGTTCTGAGCTATGTGATAATGTGATACCCTAATCCAGTTTTCATTAAAATTGCCTTTCAAAGTTGAAGTTAATTTGTGTTTTCAAATAACAAATATTACATATTCATTGTATGAAGTCCAAATACTTAAAGTAAGGCCAAGAGGAAATCAAAAGCACCTATCATCACACACATTGGGGGGTATTCTTTTAAAGATGAATGTAATCAAGACCTGTTTCTTTCTGCAATTTCTGGTTTCAACAGAAAAGTGGGCTGATGCAGAAACCCTCCTCAATAAGCACATTAATACTTTGAATAAAATACAGAAAGTGAAATTACTAATATACAAACTGTGGGTTTTTTAAAATGATTTTTTAATTTTTATTTGATGTACATTGATTGGTGTTTTGCCTGCACGTATGTCTGTATGAGGGTGTTGGATCTCCTGGAGTGTGAATTACAGACAGTTGTGAGCTGCCATGTGAGTGCTGGGAATTGAACCCAGGTCCTCTAGAAGAACAGCCAGTGCTCTTAACCACTTGAGCCATCTCTCCAGCCCTTATAAATTGTATTTGTAACAAGAGGTTATTGGGGCTGGAGAGATGACTTAGCTGGAAAAAGTACTTGGCACATAAGTTTGAAGGCCTAAGTTCAGATCCCTAGTATCCACATAAAGTGAGAAGAACAAGGTGGCATATGTTCATGATCCCAGAGCTGGAGTTCACTGGCCAGCTGGTCTAGCTGATTCCGTGAGCTCTAGGTTCAGTGAGAGACCCTGTCTCAAAGAATGAGGTGGAGAGTGATGGAGGACATCTGATGTCAACCTCTCACCTCCGCATGAACACACACACACACACACACACACACACACACACACACACACACACACAAATAGGTCATGTAGCCAAGGATGTAGTTCAGGGGGTAGAGTGCTTGTCCAGCATGTGTCTAGAGTGCATGTGTCAAGCTCTGGGTTTGATATACAGCTCCATAAAAATAAACAGACAGACAGATAGATAAATAAACAAATGACAATGGCACCAAGATGAAAGGCAGGCAAGGCCCCTGGTACCTAAAGCTGTAACATCCCACCACCTAGAGTATGGGTGCAGGTGTACCAGCCTTTCAAAGCGACGGAGATATGGTGTTGTCCACTCAAGATGAGCATCTGGAATGAAGAGTCTCAATCAAGGAGAGGCTCTCACAGGTTTGCTCAGTTCATTCAATGGCACTAAGAAAGAACGTCACTGAAGATAAAGAGCAAGGGATCTTGCAATATCCAGGCCATCGGCATGGGAGAGGCAGAGCCACTCTTGTGAGAAGTCAGAGCCCAAGCCTGGGTGTGGTAGGATATTCTTACTCTATATTGTTAGCCGGGAGAGATCTCAGCTCCTAAGCCAACAAGAAAGTTGGTCAAGAGCACAATGACAGCTGTGAGAACATTGAGGACCAAGTGTGAACTCAAACTAGAGGGGCCTGTCTCTAGTCTGGGGGCATCATGACTTCCATAGAAACAGGCATCAGTGTTCACATGGGGTACACACACACACACACACACACACACACACACACACACACACCATGGCATGCCATATAAAGAGTCAAAAGACCAAATTAAGAACTCAGTACTGAAGGAACTCCAGATAATTGAACACCCTAGAGTCCACAATTACATTTACTAAGTGGGTGTGGCTTGAGACAATCCTGGAACAGAAGGACAATATGAGCTGAAGACTCCAGACTTGAAACAAGCCCAGCTGGGTTCCTGGAATAAAGGACCAATCCAGTGAAGAGTTAGATCGCCCTGGAGAATCGTCAACTCTGAAAGGACACAGAGATAACAGATGGGAATGCAAATGAGGTTAGAAGACATGGAAAGCAACTGGGAAGATCCCAGATTGGTTCTTGTTGTTTTGAGACAGGGTCTCCCTATGCATAGACCCAGGCTGGCCTCAAACTGTGGGTTCCCAAGTGCCAGGAATATAAGCGTGTACCACCATGCCCAACCATTCAGTATATGTCTAGTAGTCATTTTAGAAGCAAAGCTTATGAAGTGTGTGGTTGTTTTATGTAGAAAACTCAATATTAATGATAGAAAAATTATTAAAACTAACAAGAGAGTTAAAGGATGGCTGCAAAACTAATACGTTTTTCTAAAAATGTATGTGTTTACAATTTTCAGTTTTATTGCATAAACTTGATTTAAATAATTCTCTTGTTATATGTATATCTTAAAACATTTATTTTATTGTGTGTGTGTGTGTGTGTGTGTGTGTGTGTGTGTGTGTGTGTGTAGGGCGGTGTATGTGCCATGGTACACATGGAGGTCAGAGAACAGCTTACAGGAGTTGGCTTTCTCCTTCTACCAAGTGAGTTCCTGGGATAAACTTGGCTGTTGTGGCCAGCATTGGTAAACCCAATACTGGGAGGTGGAGATGGGCAGATTCTGCAGGATCAGATTATCAGCTAGCTAGTCCATCACAAACAAGATGACTTGGGTTCACTGGGAATCTATTTCCAAAAAGTAAAGTGGAGAAGCTATTGACCAAGATATTCCAAGGTCAGTCACTTGGCCTACATACTTACATGCACACATTCACACAGGCACCCTAAAATAAAGCAAAATGCCAATGACTAAGCCCTGTTGGTACAGACCTGTAATCTCAGTTACATCAGAGGCTGAGGCAGAAAAAAAATCCCAAGTTCAAGGGATCTATCTGAAAGTAATGGCTATTCTTGGTTGTCTACTTGGCTACAGCTGGGCACACACATGAGGTGGGTTTTTATTTGTTTTTTATTTTGTTGAGACAGTGTTTCTTTGCATAGTCCTTGCTGTCCTAGAACTAGCTCTGTGGACCAGTCTGTCCTCAAATTCATAAAGATCCTCCTGCCTCTGCTTCTTGAGTGCTTGGTGTACCACCACCGCCTGGCAGGGGGTTTTGTTTTTTGTTTTGTTTTGTTTTCTCAATTAAATCTTTTGAAGTGGGAACACTCACTTTTAATCCAGATCTTCTGAAACAGGAAGGCAAAATAGGTCTTTTGAGATGGGAAGACCCACCTCTAATCTGGGCCATACCTTCCTTCCGCGGCATCCTATATAGACATGGAAGGAGGAAGCTTTAGCTTTTTGCTTGCTTGCCCTCACTCTGGATGGCTTGTCCATTCCTTCACCGGCAGTGAAACCTACTTCTCTGGGATTCTGGGGTATAACCAGCTGAGACAGCCAGCCTCATGGACTGTAAAATACTAGATTCTCAGACCTTCCTCTTGTAGATAGCCATTGTTGGATTAGCTGGATCAGAGCCTACCTACCAGCTGTTCTAATCTATATAGTTTATTTGGTCAATTCTGTTTCTCTAGTGAACCCTAATGAATGCACTGAGTCACAAACTGTGTTCAAACCCAACAAGAGAAGCTTAATGAGACCTGTGTCAAAATAATAAGTAAAAAGAACATTGGAAATGTAGCTTGTAGGAAACCACTTGCCCAGAATTCACCCTACATTCAATCTCCAATGACAAACCAAAGCAGTTGCCAAAGTATTTGTATCCTGCACATATAAAGAGTTCTTACATATCAACAAGAGGACAAATGAATCTTTTAAAAAGAGGGAAAAAAGAACTTATTAAAATACAAATGGCCAGTAGAAGCACAAAATCCCACTCAATTCAATTCACAATCCAGAAAATACAAGTTAATCCCACCATAAACTCAAAGAACTGGCAAAAACTGTGTGCCGAGATCAGCGTGCAGAGGAAGGCCATCCCTCACATTCTGCTGACTGGCCTGTAAATTAGCTCCATCTTTTTGGAGAACAGTTTTGCTTCGTGACAATGCCCATGCTCTATGACCTAGCAGTTTCACTCTTTGATTTAAACTCTAGAGAAAACAGCCTATTCCAAGAGGCACTTAACAAAAATGCTCGGAGCAGCACTATGGCTGCTAGGAAAGAACTAGAAGCCGATCAATGCCCATCGATAGAACAATAAAGGATAGACGGTGGGGTACTGTATGGTGATGAGTATGAATAAATTATAGCTACGCCCAACCACGGAAGGGAAACTCGGGATTGTGATCTGAGTGGCAGACGCAGATGGAAAACACACACAGCTTCTGTCCAGTGGTACCCCGTCTGAAAACATGCCTGGCTATGCTGCGCTGGGAGGCCACCAGTCAAAGGAAGGGTAACCATCACGTTTAGGATGACTCCAGGAGGAGTGAGGGTGGGTGGGGTGGGATGGTGGTGGTCCGAAATGAAGCTGCTCAAGTTTTTTCCGTCTTCTTCCACTTGATGTGAGGATGCTGGTGCAGTATTAAGATGCTTCGGGCTCCCCTTTGTTCTT